GAGAGAGAGAGAGAGAGATGAGAGGAGAGAGAGAGAGAGAGAGAGAGAGAGAGAAGATATATAATATTATATATATATATATATATATTATATATATATATATATATATAGAGAGAGAGGAGAGAGAGAGGAGAGAGAGAGAGAGAGAGAGAGAGAGAGAGAGAGAGAGAGAGAGAGAGAGAGAGATAGAGTGAGAGAGAGAGAGAGAGATAGAAAGAGGAGAGAGAGAGAGATAGAAAGAGTGAGAGAGAGAGAGAGAAAGAGTGAGAGAGAGAGAGAGAGAGAGAAAGTGAGAGAGAGAGAGAGAAAGAGTGAGAGAGAATGAGAGAGAGTGATAATGAAGATGAGGGTGAGAGTGAGGGGTTGTGGGAATGCCATGTTTTACTAAAAAGAAGCCGACTGTTATTATCAAAGTTTCTGAGGTATATTTTAGTATTCTATTCAAAGACTAAAATGTGAATCAAAGTACAAAAAAATACAATACACTTTATTTTACAGTCACAATACTCTCCTAAAATTATTCGTTGTATCAAATCTTGTAAATAAAAATATCATAATGACTAATTACACACTGGTCAATACAAATCTTACATTCTACAAATCTATAAACATATTTCTATATTACAAATCTATACACACATTTATTCTGAGAAAATGCAGCAACAATCGTTGTATTTCTTGATGAATGAAATGTTAAGAATGAAACTTAGTTTTCTTCAAAAACTAAGATAATCTTGACTAAAACATACAGTATAAAACAATATAAAAAGCAAACCACTGGCATATATTTGTAAGTTGACACTGAAATATAAAAACTGTATGCTTGAAAAAAGTATATATAAGGAGATTTCTTTATATAATGCATTTCATTAAAAAAAATATCACATATGACCCATCTGTAGATATGAATAACATCCTATTATAGGCAGTAAATAAAGAGTAACGAAGACATTTTGTTGGAAATTAAATGTGGATTTCTGTAAAATTGATAAATCATATACATTTTTTTTCAACTCACATTTTGAGATTAAAATATTTTTTAAAACTGCTCTGAAACCTTACAAAGCAATTCATTTTCATGTTTTTTCCTACACTTACTTCAAAGGCCTCTGATTATTTCTGTGTTTGTCTGAGCACTGTAGTCTTTATTTCTGTTAGAGTGAAAAGCGGAGGAGAGTATTATCCACTCAAGGTCCAAATCAGGAATTTCACACTCATTCACACTTATATCTTTGCATTCATATTTTTTGTTTCAAGGCATAATAGGATAGAGGGTAGTTCTGCATATACAGAAGTACAATCACAGAAAAGGACCTCTTTTCAACTAGTCCCATCATGTGCTAAAGTTATTAAAATTATTAATATGATTGGGATTGATTTTCACCTTAAATATTTACTTTTTTTGGCAATTTCATAAAAAACTCAACACCGATATTTCAGATAGTTTTAACTTTCTTCTTTTTTCATTGATCTTCTATCATGGTCTCTTTTTTGGTTTGTTTTTCCTCATATTTCTTTTCACTGATTTGTCTTCTTCTATTCCCCTTTATTCCTCAGGCATCTCCTGATTCTTTACACATCAAAGTTCAGTTGTTTCCAACTTTTTGTCAACCAGGGGATTTCCAATCTTATGGAAGGTTTGGTAAAGGTTAGCTCGATAAGTGTCATTGATGTTATGATGTTCATGGTTCGTAAGCTGAGCGTTGGAACCCACTGTACTCGATTCCCTATAAAAAAAAAAGAGAGTTAATGCTTCTACAATATCATTGAGGGAAGAATATTACATTCAGAGAAGTAAAATAGGTCAGGAAGACTTAGTGCAGTTACTAAATGTATAAGAAGAAACATTTCTTCAAGCAGGATGCAGCAGTAGACATAGAAATCCAGAAGAGGTAGATTGGATTCTAAAATGAAACTAACCAAGTTAAATACATGTTCATGTATGATGATTTTTATCTCTCCCCTTGGTTGTGCAAGAAATATTTACACGTAGGTCTGAAGTTCATGAGCTGATCATCAGCAGGAACAGTGATTTTTTGAAGAATAAGGATGGAGGTGAAGAAGAAGAAGAAAAAAAAACCTGTTTCACAACTACAGCCACAAAATACTTCATAAATAAGTTGGCTTAACTGATTTTTAAGCAACCAAGTTATATTATTTGACAAGACTTTTGGGTTTGACTACATATACAATAAGTGTAAACAAAGAAAACACATGCATATGGACCATCACAAACATAATTATAACTTTAACATAATGATGCATGGCAAGTCACTTTAGTACTGCATGATACATCGTTTAAGATATTTCTACAAGCAACTATATTAGGGCCACTATGGTTCCATTTGTCCCAGCCACATCTAGACAATCCTCTATATAATTCTTAAACTCACCCTGTATCCATGCATACTGTTCAGAAAGAAATAGACCTTATCCTTCTTCACATTTATCATTATGAGCTAACATCCTCAATTTCATATTCTTAGGATGAATATCCATAGAGTATGATGCATTAAAATACAACTAACTTCTTAGCCGTGTTATCAGCGTTTACCTTGATAATGGGTTGGGAACACTGCTGTGAGTAATATAAGGCATATCTCGGTCTCCCCTTGGTGAGAGGGATGTGTCTACAGCATTGTCATCCAGACTGTCATTCCCCTCACTCTGATGGCTAAATAGAAGAAAAGAAATTAGCTACACCATTTTCTCAATAATACCAACCAATTTTCTGAAATTTACTACATGACATATAGATTACCCTATTATACATATTTTGGTACAGTATAAAACTCTGCAAAAAAGTTATTCTGCCATTTGTGTGCATTTATACATGGTTCCAAGACTTTAACTAAGTTGAATTTGCATTTTAATTTCAAAATCTTTCAAAGATGTATATTTCCTTGTAGGAAAAAAATATTGAAAGTCAGTGGACTACAAGAAAATACATATCTGAAAATGGGCCTCAGAATATATAAAACTGGCAATATTAGGGATACCTTCTGTGACCAAATAAATTGTTTAGGGTGCTAATGCATTTAAGGTGTAAAGGTGCTATCATAAAACCAATTACTTGATACTGGAGTCAAACAGTGGTGCACTCCAAATCTACTTACGAGTACTACTAAGAATGGAAAAGAATAATTGAACTCATTTGAATTATTGCATTTACACTGACATTACCAATCTATCATTATTATCTTTTAGTATGCATGCTCTTAATGTCTTGTTCTCAGATTTAATAAAATGACATGAAAATTACTCAATCGATTCAAAATAATTGACAGTTGTTGTGAGAATACCATATTTGATTAGAATAAAGTAGGTGCAGAAAAGTTTAAAAAAGAATTAAACATTATGCAGACAACAAAGAAGACAAATAAATATACACAAAAGTCATAAACATAAGGATACATTTAGCAAACAAATGAACAACAAAAAGATACAAAACACACATTTCCCAATAAAGCACCTTGTTAAGCAAGGACCTACAAGTACTTTGGTGAAATACTGAACAACATAACCAACAAAAAAACAATCAACCAAACAAACAACAAATTAAGACAAACAAAAAGCGGTGCAGAAAACTCACACAAATTGTTGGTACCTCAGTGAGTCTTCATCTTTATACCAATCATTATCAAACCCAGACATCCAAATGGGGTTGCTGCCTTCAACGCTGTGGATGTTGGTATTAGGAACTGTGGATGACCTATTGAGGCCAGGCTCATGGGAACCTGAAATGCAAAGAGGGAATGCAGTGGATGACATGACTTTCACTTTTGAGAAAAAAAAAGAAAAGAAAAGAGAAAAAAGAAGGACGA